CAGATTGATCTAGCTAAATGGTGCACCCATTTTCTTGAACCACTTGAAATTTATAAATGGAGACCCCCACCCCCACCCCCAAAATCCTATGTTAATCAATTAAACATCAATTAATTTCTAATTCTCTCCTCCCTTTAAATATTTTATTTTTATTTTTATTTTGCTAAAATAATTGTCTATATTATTTTCAGAAATAAAATTTCATCCTAGAATAGTGTCACCACTTTTGGTTTGACCAGCAAGGTTGGTTTAGCGTGATACCTAATTTAGAAGACGCATTGTATCTTGTGAGATAGACGTCCAATAATTCTATTAGAACTTGTGCACACTCGTGCACAAAAAAAATTGTCTTAAAGGAGATTTGCTGTTGGGAAAATCTGGGAGGTTATTGACACAAAATCTAGACGTCCAATAATCCTATTAGAACGTGTGCGTACTTGTTTTAATATAGTGTTCAAATTGCCTTAAAGGAGATTTGCTGTTGGGGAAAATTACACTTGTGCACATTTCTCTGTTTTCTTTCCTTCCTGGGAATTACATTGGGATCCGTAGGTCATATACGTATTTTACAACCACTTTTTTGTTTTAATTTTTCTTTAATTTGGGGAGGGTTTAGATTCTAAACTGAATGAAATTGATGTATCAATAGCAATTTTGCTGATAATAATTCACATTGTCTTGCATAGTTACATCTACTGACACATAATTTTTCTAAGCTCCCAGTTTACACGGATGACATAGTTTACCTCATGGAAAATGTCCAATGTACAGGACTTTTCTCACAGATCACTTATAGGGCCCCACTTGTATTAAAGAAAAAAAATTATGCAGGCCCCACGTATGTGTGTTGCCTAACAACACCCTAATTCTGTAAGGGTAGCACTGCTCTTAGCTCATTAGATAAAATGTTACTTTAAAGTATAAATTGTATCACATAGAATATCAAAGGCCAAGAAGCTAAAGTTTTAAAATTTATGAGAAAAATTAATATCATACATAACATTAAACAAAGATAATACTTAAGGGGAAATTATCAAAAATGACACTTTTTTTGAAATTGCTATAAAACTTCTGAGGTGCTCTAAATTTTATCAAAAATGTCACTTTTTTGGTGGAAAATGTCCAAATTACCCTTAATTTCCCCTTTTCAAGAGCATTAAATGCTCATTAATGGTAGTCTCTGATCCAATCAATTGTAATGATTTCATTATTTAATTTGTATATTATAATGATTTGGTAAATGTATATTATATTGTATAATATGAATTTACCAAAAAAAAACATAAAAGACATAAAAAAAATTCCAGGAAGCAAAAAAAAAAAGATAAAAGAAGCAAAAAAATCCTACTTCACATCAAATACATCCCTTCTTGAAAAAACCCTCCATTTTTTTCATCTTCTTTATTCCTTCATCAACAATATATTGCTATTCAATTCATCATCCATTTTGAGAGGTTAGTTATTAAAAATTATTTATATTTTTATCTAATAGCTTATTATTTTTCACATATTAAAAGCAACATGATCATTAAAGTGAAGAAAGCATTTAAAACCACTATTAATGATGATGGTATTGATATTTCTTTTTGATATCATTTTAAAGGGAAAATATACCAAAAATATTTAGGCAAATGTCAACTATTCCATATTAAATGAAGCAGTCATTTATTTATGGAGATCTGTAGAGCAATGGAATAATTGTTGTAGTTGAGAATTGATTATAACCATTAATATTTCGGAGAAAGTAACAAACAAACACGCCTTAAACTTGTCGGCGGTCTCAACATGTCTAATCTATCGATCTCGACGATTAGACATGTCGATCTCTACATTTAGAAACTATCGAGATCGACAGATAAACTGTCGGATAGAGTCTTCAACTGTCAAAATCGACAGTTGAAAACTGTTGACACCCTTCATTTCACATTCTCCTATTGCATTGGTTTAAATATTCGAAAGTGCCCCTTCCATACTATTACATATCAATATGTTGACTATTCATAATTCTTATCGTTGTAATCCCTTTATTTTAGGTATAAACACCCATTTGAGATTCATCATGTTGCATGGGAGAAGGTTTATTCATGCAAATGACGAATGGAAGTGGACAGGGGACAAAATCACATCCATTTTAATGCCGAAAAATATTACCCTAGCCGGGTTAGACATCTGAACTGTCAAACCCGACATTTAGAAACTGTCGAGATAGACAGATTAACTGTCGAATTCGACAGTAGAAAACTGTTGACACCCTTAATTTCACCCAACTGCTATTGCATGGATTTAAATAGTCAAAAGTGTCACTTCCATAATATTGCATATCAACATATTGATTATGCAAAAATCTTATAGTTGCAATCCGATTCATCGCATTGGATGGAGAAAAGTTTGTTCATGTCAATGACAAATGGAAATGTATAGAGGACAAAACTACTTCCATTTCACTGCTGAAAAGTATTACCCTAGCCGGGCTTTTATTACGGTTGAATGACAAACTTGGCGTTCTCAATCCGAAAAATAAATGTCTCAAGTTTGAAGTGTAACTCATAGTGAAGATTTGCGGTGCTATATATACTGTGGTTTATGGAGGGAAGAATTTGAGGTCATTTACTAACCAACCACCAAACCCAATCTACTTCAAATTAATTTGGAAGACAATTGGTGTGATAGTTTAAGGTCTAAGTACACCGTCATCCTTAGACTTTGTCTATAAATTATGAAAATTGTTAATCTTAATACCCATGTGTAATATCATAATTAACTTTGAACCATGTAGTTGGCATTTAATTTTCATTATTTACTAACTAAATCATGTGTAGCATATCCTTAGGTATTTTTCATATAGCATTAAATTTCAAAATCCTATTTCAATCACGAAATTATAATATTGTCTTCTTTTAGTCGAACAATCCAACGAACATGAGCAACATGAAACTTTCACAATGCGTAAATACGGCTTGTAATCAACCACAATCCCAGTGAACAGAATAGCATACATAACAACGAATGATTTGTATGACTAATTACAATATAACAAATTGACATGTCCATGTCAAACAACTATGATTTACAAAGAGCAGGTTCAACCATTACCTCAAAACACACACACATGTTACCGGCTTTTCAACATTCAAACTAAGAATCTTTAGGCCAACAAAATAATACGACGACATTTACTAGATGAATGTCACAAAAGTGTGTCAACATTAATTGTTGTGTTACACAAAAAAAAAAAATACATTTGCTTTGCGTAGCACTCTTAGTCTCTATACTTCCAATTGGAGTCTCCACCCTCAATGTCTACATCTCATGAAGAGCTTCAGTCACAGCATCCCCATATTCTTCCATGTTGACTTGTCGTGGGTGGTAGCCGTCATGAAATTTCAATAGAAGACCTCAATTTCAGGTTTGCATTTGAATAGCATGTCAGCAATTACATTGTTGAACATTAAGAATGTGAAGAATAATAGTAGGCATTACCAACAAATCCGCCTCCATGCAACAACATCGAACGATCAATATCAATACCATATGGGGAGTAATTCATGACAGCGGTTGTAACATTATCAAAGTAAATGCATATAGCTCCACATTAGCAACTTCGACAGTACTACATTAAATTTGTATGAACATAATATTTGACACATGGTAATGCGAAATGCACGTGCAATGTTCAACCAAAGTTTGACATACATGTTCATGCGAAATACATATGCAATGTTCAACCAAAGTTTGACATACATGTTCATGTGAAATGCACATGCAATGTTCAACCAAGATGCGTTTTATAATATTTCATACATGTAAATGTGAAGTGCACATGCAATTATCACAATGGAAATGTGATGTGTCGAGAGAACTGTCACGAAAGTTCATCTCGCAAGATGACTAAACTCATCTATTAGGAGCACCCATCTGTCGAGAATTACTGAGGCAAACTGTCGGGAACGACAGTTCATCTGTCAAGAACTACTGATTCGAATGTCGAAAATGACGGTTCAATTCAACAGACCCTTGCTTCATTTTCTTACAGACGGAAGCATTAAAACCATAGAAATGTCGAGTATTTATTTATGATGCAGGACAACGTATATCACTTTCAAATTTCAGCAACTAATTCATTTATAAGATAAATAAAGTGTGATATTTTACTTCAAATATTTAATACAAAGCAAAATTTGAATTCATATTCGAATTTACATTATCACAAACACCTACTATGCATCTCTTTAATTTCCTAAAAAATTTAATTTTTCTACCTACTGACTCCATTCAATTGATCCAAATATTGATTTTTATGTATAATAACTAAATGGGTATTTCACAGATGAATTTTCACATCATACTAACATTAAAAAAACTTCAAAATATCAATTTCATACTAACAAAATATAGCAAAACTTCAAATTTGTAGAAACAATTCACAAATATGTAACAGAGAGATTCATGAAGTGTTCACCATGCCCAGAACTTATGTAATATGATTCCTTATCTCATTTGTTCACTTTTACACTCTGGACATTTCATCTTCTCCTCAAAATGTAAAAAATGAAAGAAAACAAACCTGAAAATATTAGTGAAAATCTTTGTCGGAGGTGGGCGTCACGGTGGTCGTCGCCGGGTGGGAGGTAGGTGATTCCAGTGAGAGAGGAGAGTGCGTGAGAGAAAGGAGTGTGTTTGAGTCGGCTTCTTTCTTCTTGCTTCACCTCCTCCTTCTTTTCCTTTTATATTTTCAACATCAAATAAACTCCCTAACATTTCACAAGTTTTTGTACACTTTTTAATAGTCTAGTCATATCTCATTTAATGAAGAACACATAAAGTATTGAAATTATTCAGATGGGCAAAAAAGTTCGAAAATATCATTTTGATAGAACTTTAAAAAGATGATATTTTTGATAATACAAAATGAAATTTTGACTCTTATTGTAATTTCCTCATACTACTTAAGTTACAATCTTGTCTACTCCTGCCGTGAGAGAGGAACCAAAATAGGAAGATAACAATTGAAAAGTACTCTCAGATTTGAGGAACAGATTCAACATAGTATATAGAGTTATACAAATACTGTGCTAACATTGTAAGACGTTATTGTTAAGACATTGGACAGACAACAACAAAGATAGCATTCGAAATGTAGTGTTTTGTACTTGACACGAACAAGAAGTTATATGGTGGGAGACAATGAGGTCTGAAACCAGACAAACTTTCAGTCGATCCCTGATATTGAGATGATTAGTAAGTCACGAGGGGTGATCCACTACAATGAACATCTGAGGCATCAGAAGTCCTTTGTCTTGGAGTCAATGTGTTGCTAGCAGCAGCTTCGACCTCAATATTGACAATATTTTTCCTCTTCTGATTATCCCCCTTTGGCTCGTCTTCGGCTAACTGCTGCTGGTTCTCCATTATCATGGCTTGAGCTTCTGCCACCACCGATGAATCATCATCTGCAGCGTATAAAATCCTCTTTATAGCTCCAACAACCTGGGATACAAGATAACAGTAAGCACTCACAGAGGAAAAATCTTGATCCAAGTTTCTTGAAGTAAGTTAAGTAGAAAGACTTACTAGAAGGTTTTCAATCTCAGGACACTGGCACAAGATTTCAATATCCCTCAGCTTTGCAAAGTAAAAGTCCCTCTCCTTCTCAAGACTGTCCACTGATAGCTTCAACTCCGTGATCTGTGACACAAACATAAACATAAATAAGCCTCTAGATATTGTTAACTCATGAGCATCTCCATACTAATTCTATAGAACCTGTTGCTCAAACGCAGCACGCTCTGCTTCTGGATAGACAGGAGGCCCTCCACTAGAATTAGGTCTAGTGGCCTTAGTGGGTTGGTTTGCTGTGTTCACATTAGTTGCATCATTCCTCCGTCCATTATGAGGGGCATTTTTAGGGTAAGATGCCGCATTTTTAGTTGAAGGTTGCATTGTTGCAGATTTCTTGTTAGCTTCTTTGCCACCCTTGCAGGTCTCTCTCCTTTCAAAAGGATTGTAACTGATATTGATGGTAGGATGGCACAGTCATAAAAAGCGTCAACAGATCATGATGATTATACCACATAATAATTAATCACTCATATTTCTACATACGCACTCCAAAAAGAGTGTTCAAGTTTCTTTTCTCATAAACAAAAGATCAGACCGCAGAAAATGATAATACCAATATGAGATAAAGATTGAATTGCTTTCAAGCACCTATGGAATAGAGACGCATAGCTAAGACAAAGTTTTCAGATTCTGAAATATCGTGCTTCATCAAGTTCACAATTTTCAAGTATTCAAATCAATGTGAACATTAATTAACATAAAATATCTAAGCAACGAAATACAATTCTTAGGTAATGAGATTGTCCGCTTTAATAAAAATGCAATACTCAATAAGACAATGGAAACAGAAAACAAACAAAAGGGAAAATAGTGTTATATATTTAGCCTCTGTTTGATGCCCATTAAAAAGAGTTTTTGGGATAAATGAGTTTTGCAATAGTAATTTTTGACGAATGTGTGGTTAAAAAGTAGAAAAAAATTGTGGATTTACGTGCAAAATATTTCATTGTAAGAACGTCTGATTGAAAAAGAATTTTAGATAAAAGAGTTTTTAAAGAAAGGTAGACAAACAGGAGTGAAATAAAGCTTGAGGGAAAGAAACGAAGTCTCATTTTACGTGAGATATCATCATAAACCTTCTTAGTAAACTTCAAACATTGATACCCATAGCAGTTCCACAAGTGGGAAAATTAACAAAGAAATGAAAATGGATATGGATATGAAAATGAAAATGAAAATGAAAACGAAAATGAAACGTTAACAAACTGCAAGCCATTCTAGCACCCTTAACAATGCAAAGAACTCTTAAAGAATGATTTTTCCATATCCAGACTAATACCAATCCAAGCCATTTCATGAATAAATTCCGCACTTTGGCATGAACAAAAAGTAGCTGTATGAAGAATTTCTTTAGAAAGCAAAGAAATACACTCGAATACATCAAAAGAAATGCTATCCCAATTAAGTCATAGATGATGAAGACCTGATTTCCTAACCAGTAATAATACTAATAAACAGAGAGTGAATGGTGGTGACACCCCAAATGTGTACTAATTACTAAGGTTGGGCAAATCTCCCGAACCCGAATCGAACCGAACCGAACCCGACAATTCTTGTCAAATTAAATACTCGAATAGGTATCTGAATTGAGATTTCTAAATCCAAAATTTTGGCTCAATTACCCATTTTATTGTCTCATTTCTTAGCCCAACAAAATCCAACCCACTAAATAACCCTAAACACCTATACTAAAGTGCATAACGCTGTCTCGACTCTTGCAACCTCGCTGACATTCCAAAACCTATACAATCATCGACCGACGTTGTGACCTCCGATCGAAGCTGTGACTTCCGCCAACCGAAATTTTGACCGTAGCGATCATTTGAACAAGGTAGTCTACTAATTTCTGACATTTCAAAACCATTGAATATGCTATTAGTTGTATTTATGTAATGTTGTTATAAATGTTAAAAAATTTAATTATAGTATAGAACCGAACCGAACGGAACCGAACCCGAACGGTTCCATAATTATATTTGGGACTGACGGTTCCATTTACTAAATACCCGAAAATTTTGGTTCGGTTCGGTTCTAAAACCGACCCGCGCCCACCCCTACTAATTACTCATAGCTTCTTTCATAACTAAGTAATTCCTAAATTTTCAAATTTCAACAAAATAGGCAAAGAGAAAAAGAATAGGATGTTTTAGGCTGAAGAAATTACCTTCTCACGAGCCCTCCATTGATAGAATCACAGTAATGCTTCATCCACTGCATAAATTCCAAATTGTCCAGAGGTCTTCCTTTGATTAATTTGTTCACCTCAATATGCTGCACCATACAGAACAACAAAAAAAGAGTCAGGATAAGAATTTATATTTCAGTTACATAAAAACTATTTCAAAATAAGCAATTTTGTATATATCTAGATTTCCTAGAGGAGAAAAATTGAAGACCCAGGAAAAATAGTAAAATGCGGAGAAATAGTAAGAGCACCTTGGTGATCTTGAGTTTGTTGAAAACGTCTTGAAGGACCTTGTAATTCTGGATCATCTCGTACTCGTTCTTGGCATCAAAATTGACTTTGTGCATTGGCACCATCCCAGGGTGAACCGCATCCATCAGCTGGCACTGAACTGCACCCGTGCAAGCCTGCAAATTTCCCAGTATTACAACAGATTCCCCATTTAATAATTAATCCATAATTTTCCTCAGAAATCAAACAATTTTCTGAAAAATTTAATACTCAGAAAACCTGAAGTGTTTTAAGGGGCAAAATCCCACTATCACAGCCCAAAAAAACTCTGACAAGAAATTAGATCTGTTGAAAGCTAAGAATAACAGTCGAATTCCAAAACTGGGTACGATCCACCATACCACAGAAAAATTTCGAACTAGGATTTGAATGGATTATACCTCTTCGACTTTGGATAGATTGAGTTGGAGAGTAGAGTTTATCCAAGATAGAATTTCCGATCTTCCTACGAAGTACGCCGAATCCATGATACTGATGTTTACTGTTATTTCTGGTTTGAGTTTTGAGAGAGAGAGAGAGAGGGGTGAGAGCGTTCTTGTGTGTGTGAATTTTGAAATGAGGGTTGAGCGGGACCTGCGGTATGTATTTCAAATATTGGGCCAGGCCCACCTTCACACTTCACAGCTTTCGGCCTTAGCCCTGAAAAGAGTTTTTGCAGTATTTTTTGTTTGACTAATTTTCCCTGAAAAAGACTTGAAAGGTATTTCACAACCATTATTTGAAAACACTTTTTTTCAACATATTCACTTTTAATCACAAATTCACGTAATAAAATATGTCACACGTAAATTTAAAAAATTTTCCCCCTATCTTTAAGCCACTAATTCTTCTGAAAGAGTCACTATTTAAAACATTATTTTTTCCAAATAATGGTTGTCAAACAAAGGCTTAGTAATATTACACTAGATTAAGTAGTACTATTTACAAGCCATCTAACTATCTTTAGTATGAATGTCGATAAGTTATTTAAATCGTGAAAAAGAAAAAAATTGATTTTGTAACTGATTAAAAAACAGTCATCCATACTTACCGGTGATTGATGAAAGCCTCCGTGTGGCCCCCATTTTCTTTCATTTTCTTCATCTTCATATCCTTTCTCTCTTTTCCGAGCTTCAAATTCTTGATATTTCATACAATTTAATCTCCTGGAGGTCGTATGAAGTTGGGGAAGCTCAGATTTTGGAATCAGTAATCTTTCCAACTCATGAAAGTTGCTTGAAATTTTTAACCAGTCTTTGTAACTTAATTTCTTTGAAAAATAATTACTTATTGGCTTTTGGGCTCAATTTAAGATTATTTTGATAATGTGGAGGTTTTGGATCTGTCTTCCCATCTGATCGATGGATCATCGCCTTCAGATTTTGGAGTCAGAAATCTTACATTCTTAAACCTGTCCCATAACACACACTGGTGGCTAGTAATATCAACATACAAAATCGTATTCTGGCATATGCTAAATAATGTGAGAAGCCACTGAAAAATCAGTCCACATCCATCTTCAGTTGCAACTCTGCCAAATGCTTTTGCACCAGAGCCATTGCAGCTCGACCTCAGATGAACGGATATAGGCTAAGAACACGTACAATTCTTGGAATTTTATTTCGAGATGTAGCTGGATTGGAATTCTGGCACTGATTTTCAATTGTCTATCATCTGAAGAAAATAAACACCATGAAAACAGCAGAACTACCATTGCAGAATTCAGACAGTAAAGATATTGAAGATAGGCCAAAACAAAATGAAAAATCCCGAACAGTCAAACACCAGGAATAGGAAACTCTGACACTCATAATGATTAAAGCAGAAAAAGAAATGGAATTCGAGACTCTGCTTAAGGCCACAAAGCAGAACTGGAATATTGTAATGTTAGGAAAAATATGGACCAAGGTTAATTGGCAACTAAATTGAAATTGAAATTAAGAAAAATGTAATTAAAATTGGACATAAATATTTATGTTGTCCATCCAATTTAGGCTACGATTTTCCCAATCCCACTTTAGTTGCTAGCCAACTTTGACCCATATTTTTCCTAACAATGATACCAAAGCGAGGTTTTGCGGAGAGTAGTTCACTATTTACATACACAGTATTATTTCAGCCGAGAACAAAATGACAGCAAAATATGGGATGGAAAAGTTCATGAGAACGCTCGAGAAATAAATATATTTCTTGCTACAATTTTATGTATCTATGTACCCACAATTTTTTCTGTCAACCATGTGTAACAGATAACTGCCTTCTCTTCAAATTACATCATCTATTTATAGTGAAATTTTCACGTTCCTCTTTAATTGTAGCACCATGATTTTAACACAATAGCAAAAGTAGGTTGCATTTTCAGTACATATTTCTACTGAAGTGAGGTCAAAGACAAATTTTTCACCTTAACATTAAATGCAATAGTGGCTTGCATTTAATGCATGCAATAATGGCTTTCCTCTGTTTCAAATTCTTAGCCAACAAAAGTGACTTTATAAGCCAACATTTCTTATTTGAACAAAATGGTGACAAAGTATGAGTTTGAAAAGTTCGATGGGAACAAATTTCTTACCGTGGAAAATGAGAATAAAAGCAATTGATAAAAGATAACTACCTGACAGTAACTGGACAAAGTCTCGCGGAGATCACTGACGATAGCAAGTGAAAGAGATGGTTGATAATTCAATTGCGAAACTGCATCTAGCACTAGTCGATGGAGTATTGTCAACCGAAACAGAGAAAACATATTTTCCATCATAAAAATGGTTTGATTATATCACCAAGTGTCGAAGTGATGTCATATGGAATGCCACATTATGTTTTCGTTGTCTGCATAGATCATCTATTAGCAATTTTGGACAGAAGTTTTTGTTCGACTAACTAGTTCCGACTTAAAATTTAATGAACCAATAAAGTCAAATTTAAAGTTTCAAACAATATCCGCTCACGATATAAAGTATGAGCATCATTCAGGATTTTTATCCTCATAGAAAAAAAAATTCACTTATTCGACCACAATAAAATTCAATTTTTTTGGAGTATTTAAGTAATTTGACACGAGACCATACTTATGGGCACCAACATTCACACTAGTGACTGTTACATCACATACTTTTTTAGACACTTAAGTGCTTACATATATTACTATCGGGTAAGGCTAGCAACTATACTACAAAACGTAATAGCATCTTCAAGAGATTATTTAAATACAGATGTTATCTATTTTAGACAATCAATAAAGAGATTCTATTTTAGCTTTTTAAAATAGAAAGTGAGTTCATATCTCCAAAATCCACTCTATATTTGATCGCATTTTCATACTCTACTTTTTAAATTATTCAAATTATATTTAAATTGATTGGACCATTGACATATAAAAAGTGTATTGAAAATAAAATATAGGGAGTTATCAATAGATATTTCTTTTAAAAAAAAAATAGCAATGTTAAAATGCATATGAATTTCACTCTTCAAATATAAAAATAGTCTCCATCATACATAAGTTACTATTTATAAATAAAAATGTCTTTTTAAGATACACTAACAAGCTTCTTGACCAGTTACATGTGCATAAGATAGCAAAGAGCATATGATTTCTACTAACATGAGTTGGGACTTAAATTTAGTAAGCATATGCCACTGCACTTGATATAGTAACGTGTGCTTCCTCTAAAGCATAACACGGGACGTTTATTTTACGAAGGATATTTGCATGGGAAAGTACTATCCTCCGTGACTTGTTTGAGATCATCAATTTTGAAATATGATTGTTTGATCAAGTTTTAGACCGATTGCTCATTTGAATTTTTTGAATTTCAGTAACATATTAAATCTTAAGAGTTACAGCTTAAAGGTAACCTTTTTAGTTTTTAGGAGGAGGAATACAATGTTGATTACGATTTCCGTATCTAAAGGATGATTTACCTTTAGCAATGAAGAATTGAGGTGTTTCCAGATGCTAACATAAGTATATTTTGAATTTTTATTTCTGGGGAACCTAAAGCTCTGTTCTATACATGAGAAGAAGCATGTGCTTGGGAATTTGAAGCCCAATAAACATCCGATTGGATTTCAATATGGAGCCCGAAGTTGAAGACTTTGGGCTTGAAGGGCTCACAATGGGGAACAGCAGTTACTAATCTGATGCATTGGCTCAGACGTTTGGTAGCAAAAGATCCACGGCTTCGAGTGACATCTTCCAAGATTTTGCCACAAGGGCTAACCCAAGCCCCAAGTGCTATTGGTGTATCACCTTAACATGTACCCGAGTCATTAAGAAGTCTTAATAGGATGCCAGAACACAGCCGAACAGAGACTTGCACCGCAGTAAATACCCTGCAGGCCAAGCTCTGCAATATCTACACAGGTTGACTAGTAAATGATTAAGGGAAGCAATGGCTGAGACTTTAATAACTAAATGACATGATAGAATTCTTCCAACCTTGCTAAGGTCGAGCTGACATAACAAACCAAACATGTTTCACGGAAGTACACAAACATGGGTCTTTGCAAAAGATAATGAGATTAGTCGAAGCTCTAAGTGAAACACATTTAAATTCGGTTAATAACAATTAGCATAATTGTCCCAAAACAAACCTATGTGCTCAATTTAAAGTGACAACATTAGTGTATTTATGCATCGGAATTATCAAACTCAGTTTGATGTCTCCTCTATTTGTACAGGTAGATTTAACTTAACAAACACAAGCACTAGTTCATTACCTTATCATTTTCTGTGGCGAGCAAACCTGGCCGGAGTAAATGGGCTAAGATCAACAATACTAGAACAACCATTCACTACAAGCTCGGCCACTGCGGCTCCAGTGGCCGGACCGTTGAGAATGCCCCAACAACTATGTCCAGTCGCTACATAACATCCCTTGACTCCAGGAATTTCTCCAATAACTGGCACACTATCATCGGTGCAAGGTAAGAAGCAGGCTTGCTCAGCTTTCACTGTGGCTTCTCCTTCCACCAAATGGCTCGACACATTGCTACCCACTCTCTTAAGCACCTGAATTGACTCTGGCACGGGTGCCACCTGCTCAGGATCATCGGGAACCTCTGCCTCGGCTGCCATGCCACATATGTACACCTCCCCTGTCAATTCAATCCGTGGATTGTTGTTTTATAAAATCAATTCGAAGATAAAAATCAACATCACAAGCAACTTCTAGTTGATCTAATGGATCAAATTCAACCTACTACACCACCAGATCAATTCCAAACAATATAAACTACAATAAGATTGCAATATTTGAATTTGAACAATTGAACGGTTAAAATTGATATTTACGAGCACTAAATTGAAATAAAGATCAGAATTAAGGAAAAATTTCATAATTTCCTAACAATAGTTTTAGAATACTTTCAAAATTAACACGCTTGTAAAAAACTTTGAAAATCAGATGATATGTGTCTGTTATTCTGATGAATGATTCTGACTTATAAATTGTTCAACTATCACTTGGTACGACATCCGATTGTGGAACTAATCTGTGACAAGTTAGATTGTGACTTAATTTGTTTTAGAATTTATTAACATGTGACCTATGAATTTGTATATATATGACCATTCAGTTATATTATCCATTGTGACCTAATTATATATATTTATATGACTATCTAAAAAAAAAACTAATACCTTGCTGAACTTAGCCCCCATTTGCCCGCATTAATTTTCATTCCATCATATTTCATTTTTCACTCTTCTATTTTTAACCACAAAATCTTTCATAAAATAATATTACACATAAATCGAAAACTTTTCATTTTTTCTCAACCATTCATTTTTTAAAAAAAATACTATGTTATCCATTTTCATTTTCTTGAGGCCAAACAAATTGTTTAATAAGTTTTTCCAAAATTAATGAATTGGGCCTTGATTTATACCTGTTGGACGAGGGTACACCTCAGGGTCCATGGGTTTCCCTCCTTGGGCCGGATAGTAACTCAAAAACAGAACATGGGCCGTGATTGCAGCAGGGTCTTTGGGCTCCACAACAATGCTATGGGCCTTAAGCCCATAGACTCTAAAAATTGAGTCCAAAAGCTTTAACTTACTAGTCCAAGGCCCAAGTGCCAAAACCACCGCATCAGCCTCAATCTCTCTCCCACCCTCCAATACTACCGCCTCCGCCTTCTCCTCCACCACCTTCACCGCCTCCAATTTTCCGATCACCACCTCCACTCCGTAATCCGCCACCGCCTTCGAAAGAAGCGTCTTCGTAAACAGCTGCGGATGAACTTGGGCCGTCGTCTCAGTTGTTCCAATAGTCCTTGGGCCTTTCGCCGGCCCATCTACCCATGAAGGAACACTAGGACTTGCTTTTCTTGCCGAGGAGGATGATTCTGTAATTGAGAAACTGAGTGTAGTGACGGGTCGATAACCATATACTTCTAGCCCGTTGAGTTCTTCGGCCAATGAACGGTGGAGATTGAAGCTGGCACGTGCGAGTGAAGAAACTGGTCCACTATCGCACCAATCAAGAGCGAGGAAACCGCCGGCCTTGCCGGAAGCAGCACAAGCAATGGATGATTTTTCTATAAGTGTGACGGCCGCACCTTTTTTGGATAAGAAGTATGCGGTGCAGACTCCGATGATTCCGCCGCCGCAAACCACCACCTTTTTAGGCGAATTTGGGGCGTCCATGGGCGGCGATGCGGATGAGAAGCAGCAAATTGAAACTAAGTTGGGAGTCAATTTGTAAAATTGCTGTGGAAATCGTAAAGGAGCCGAACGGTGTTGTGATGTTATTATTAGCATTTTATAAGGTTTTCAGTTTTAGCAATAGAACACATGGAATGAATTGCGTAGGGACTTCAAGTTTTATTTTATTTTAATTTTGGATAAATGAAATTATAATTTTTTCAAACTCCCAATTTGATTAAGAGATAAGTCCATTTGAGCCATATTATAATGAGAATGAGAAATAGAGTCGTTATCTGCTTCACACCAGAGATAGAAATTCAAAAAGTGTGGCTTGATGTGATGGATAACAGTCATATTTTTTATTTTAATGAGATAAAAATGAGGCTCAAACAGGAGCAAAGAAGTGAGAGTCTAAACTTAAAATTCATAATAAAACAATATTGATTTATATCATAAAGATATTATTTATCAAAGAGCAACAATATTTCAAATACAATATAACAACAAAAGTGATCGTATGTCAAAGTCATCCATTTCCAATTGGGTTAGTCACATGGTACAAGCTGGTATGTTTAGCTTCTTATTTAGAGATACGATTTATGACTAGCTACATTCAAGTATAATCGAATCAAGATAAGACGACATTGTCGATCAAAAATTAAATTGAACCTTCACTCAAGATAGTTCGAACCATCACTTGGGATAGCAATAGCTCAACCTACATGAATCATTTGTAATCGAATCAAGATGAGTGCCATGGTCAAAAGTCAAATCAAACCATCACTTGGGATAGCAACAGCTCAGCCCACATGAATCATTTGACTAAAGCACTTGAATACTATCACCTAGCCGTGGTGATTTGTCAACCATCAATGAATAGTTAGCTTCGAGATTCCACTCCCTTAGAAGAAACATGCATATGGAGAAGGAACAAAGAGCATACTTATACTTTTGTGGTGCTTGCCTAGTTAACAATTCCGAATAAGTCAAGACGATTCGAAGAACGTATTGAATTAGTTGAGATAACATTTCTCACTCAACAAGTCATAAAGGGCATAACAAACATGGTCGACATGACCCAAATCCAGATCTTGCAGCAATGGACGCCAATGAAAATTCTACACAAGGAACCAAAAAGTTCCATATAGAACAATAGAAGAAACCGGGTAAAAACCAACCAATTCTGGCATGCACTAGTTCTTTCTATATATTCGAGAATATTATAAAATGTGAACTGCTACATAAATTAATTTAACGATTTATAAAAATAATAATATTATAACCGAATTAGAGTTCGATTATGATTTATGTAGCTATAACCACATGGAGGCTCGGTTTCTTGTCTTCTTGACAAATGTAAAATATTGTTTAATCCAAGTTATGTACATCAAATTCTCTCCTTTTTCTATCTAGAACAAATGAAAACAAGTTGGGAGTCAATTTGTAAAATTGCTGTGGAAATCGTAAAGGAGCCGAACGGTGTTGTGATGTTGCTATTAGCATTTTATAAGGTTTTCGGTTTTAGCAATTGAACACATGGAATGAATTGCCGTTGGCACTTCCAAGTTTTATTTTATTTTAATTTTGGATAAATGAAATTATATTTTTTTTAAACTTAATTTGATTAAGAGATAAAGAAGTGATAGTCTATACTTAAAATTCATAATAAAACAATATTGATTTAGTCATAAAGATATTATTTATGAAGGAACAACAGTAATTCAAATACAATATAACAACAAAAGCGAACATATGTCAAAGTCATCCATTTCCAATTCGGGTTAGTCACATGGGACAATGTGGTACATTCTGCGTATTTAGAGATACGATTTATGACTAGCTACATTCATGTATAATCGAATCAACATAAGATGACATGGTCAAAAGTTAAATTGAACTCTCACTCAAAATAGTTCAAACCTTCACTTGAGATAGCAATAGCTTAGCCCACATGAATCATTTGTAATCGAATCAAGATGAGATGACATGGTCAGAAGTCAAATCGAACCATTACTTGGGATAGTAATAGCTCGGCCCACATGAATCATTTGACGAAAGCACTTCAATACTATCACCTACCGTGGTGATTTGTCACTCAACAAGTCATCAAGGGCATAACAAACATGGTGGACATGACCCAAATCCAGATCTTGCAGCAATGGACGCCAATGAAAATTCTACACAAGGAACCAAAAAGTTCCATATAGAACAATAGAAGAAACCGGGTAGAAACCAACCAATTCTAGCATGCACTAGTTCTTTCTATATTTTCGAGAATATTATAAAATGTGAACTGCTACATAAATTAATTTAACGATTTATAAAAATAATAATATTATAACCGAATTAGAGTTCGATTATGTAGCTATAACCACATGGAGGCTCGGTTTCGTCTTCTTGACAAATGTAAAATATTGTTTAATCCAAGTTATGTACATCAAATTCTCTCCTTTTTCTATCTAGAACAAATGAAAATTGCGCAATGGAAGGAAAAGATGTATAATTACATTTGGTGTTATTCTTCACCTAGCCACTTTCTTCAGTAACTATATGGTCATCATATGCAGCAAGGAAGAAAGTCCCTTCATTATCTTGCAGAAACCTGCATCAAATACACCCCCCAAATAAGTCAAGCAATGCTAAATCAAAGGTCATGAGATCTAAAATGAGATTGAAAAATCTCGACTTGGAGAAACGAAGAAAAGATCATTGGCAGGTCATAGAAGAAGAAGAAGAAGAAAGGAAATAGAAACCAATATGCGAAAGAAAGGATGAAATGAAAACAAGCCACCACCTGATCCCAGATATATTCTATAAACATCATGATTGAAAAATTATGCATCTAGGGACCCAACTTCATCAGATTATTATGGCAAAATGACAGCTAATATGCGCACAAGGATTGAATAAAGGAAAATAAATTGAGCCTATACTTGAGAAAGTCAAGCAAATTTTGCTGCAGCCGAATCAAAGTCTCCTCCTCAATATTCACATACTCCAACAGTTCCGGCAACTTTACTGCAAAAGTTGGAAGTTATATAATCACGCATTTTCTAATATTCGGAATCATTAAAATTTCTTCCCAAAAAGGTAAAAATATAAACGAGAAGCTCAATTTCCCAGCACAGAAACAAATGCTTCAACCTCATAAATGAACATAAAAATTTCATATTTTAATGCGTATGGAGTATCAGATTGTACTAGACAATCTAATAGACAAGGTTTCAGCCACCTTTTCTTCCTTAATAATGTATAATGTTGTCTTATCCACCTTACTAAACATGCCATTGGAGAATATTACAAGGATAATGCTTCTTAGAATCACAAAACTCCATGAAGAGCAAAGGATGCCAAAATATAATGCAGGATAAACATACCAAAGAGACGCAGTAAATGTTCAGCGCCATATATACTTGATGGAGAGACTCTATCTGAAATTGCTTCATTGTACTGTTGGCGTTCAGTTTTGTACAAAAGAATACATGACAGCGCTTTGTCAAAATAATATCTTAAACCTTTTAAAATTTCTGCAACTGCATCATTCATCCTGTATTTTGTGAAAAAATAAAATAAAATAAAAACCACTTAAATTCAATACGTTGCGCCCATGATTCCAGAAATCATATTGACTCCACTAAATACAATGATCATGTTTTGCTAATGATAGACAAAACGATTCAGATTAGTAACATGAGAAAATGGATGATTTGCATCACTACTACAAATTTGTAGGGATGACAACAGGGCGGGAATGAAACTATCCTCATTTCCTAAATGCTGTCCACCTCAATGCATCCTAATACTATCTATATAGTATATCTATTCTAATGTCATCCTTAGATTTTTTATACTGTCTAATTCGGCAAACCAATCAAACCTCATAGATGTTATTTTGTATATATCTGCTGCTATAACTTGAATTCATCAATGAAATATATGAAATTTCACAAATTCATCAAGTTCGTACAAATTTAAAGAAGTGAGAAGAGTTAATAAAATCAGTGAGAATAAGTTGATGTAATTTGCGATCGTTGCAAAGAACTTACATGCCATCCTTTTCGGTTCGGTATTCCAGGTATTTAGTCAATATACCATCAATAGTAGGAGATCGGGGAAGTTTTACAAGCTGCAAGAGGACAAAGATGACCTATTTTACAAACAGTAAAGAATAAATTCTAATTTCACAAGTCGTCATGCATAAACAACAGATTGCCAATTGTTTTTCCTCGGACAATCCATCCAAACACAACCCATTCACAGTGAAAAGGGATGACAAAGAGACAAATCTGGCATGAAATTCTATCAAGTGCAGCTTACTACCCAAGATAGTGGTGTTACACTTCATGTTCTAAGGTCAAGAAGACAAATTCATTATCCTTTTTTTTTTTTTCTTTTTTTTTCCCTCAAGACCAAACAGGAGAACTCTTGTGAAATTTTTATATAAAGAAACTCAGTTGAACTAGTCCATATTAATTCAAAAATTACATCTTAAACTACCCCAACAACTCAATGTCAATTACCAATTTAAAAGTGCCATCGCCAACTCCATCTTGTAGGAGAAAGATGAATAACGTTAACCATTTTCTATGTGATGATAAATTTAAAGTGAAAAGTCTTTAACATCCCATGTGAAGCAGTATTCTACTATTTCTACCATGTCTTGTCTTCAAGGAGAAGAAAGAAAACACTGAATCAATTCGAGCTTCAACAATATAAGGACCTGGAATTGTGAATAACCACAAAGGATTCATGTAGCCAGTTCCATTTAGAAAAAAACAGCATCTTATATAGCAAACTACATATTTCAGTTTAATTAAAAAAATACTTCACTTTCACCTTTGAACTTTTTTTTATTTGAGTGATAGTATAAAATTAAGCCAACATCTATTTGGAACAAAAAAGAATAATATTTTATTATTTCATCAACCAAAATGGCAAATCAAAAGGGTACTTCCCAATTTGCATTTTGTCTCCATGGGGTGCTTTTCATTAGAATTTTCTGATTGCTGGGCTATAGAACTTGCACTCATTTAATTCCTTTTCTATTAGGAGTCCTATGCAAAACATTCTGCTGTATTGCAGAACCGGCAGGAAATTAATGGGGGTTTTGAATTGAAGGACTGGGCACGAGAAATGGGAGGGGGAAGGGATCTAGTAGCCAGCATTATAAAAGTACCTTATTCTGTTGAATGATAAACTCCCAATCATCAACTAACCGCTGTCTTAGAGTTGATGGAATTTGAATATTAATCATTTTGTCTTCCACTGGATTACCCTACAATATATGACAGACGGTAGGATCATCAATATCCATATCAAAAACAGATTAATCAACAACCTTAAAAATTTGAAAAGCCAGTCATACTGCAAGTGAAACTAATGGAAGAACTCAAATTTTGCGAATGACATATGCTGAAAAAAAGTAAACTTTAGATAGATGGGCTGAAAAATCAAATGTCTGAAGCAGCAACAGCTGCTGCGCTAAGTTGCATAACCATATAAAGATCATTAGAATCCGCAACTGAGAAATGTTAATTTATTATTGAATGTACAGATAATGATGTCAAAGCAACTGAGAAATGTTAATTTCTGCAAAAACATAAACAAAATTCGAACTATAGAAATAAATTATAACTGAGAATAAACCTCTATGCCCGAATCATCTTTGCGCTTCTTCCCTTTTGCAACTGCAATAACATCACCCGAAATTCTAAGTTTCTTGGTAGCAGATATCTACCACAAACTTAAAGTGGATAACAGCCAACAGATTTTCATTTACAGAACAAACTAACGCATTCAGTTATTACCAACACTGTAACAAATCAATTTTAGCGAACAAAAAAGGAAGCACAAACACGCTTCTGGTGCCAGCAAGTCGGTGTCCAACACATTTCAGACACATCTGATAAACCAGTTTTCATTTTTACTTTATCATTGTTACGGTCTGAAACAGGGCCTGACAAGATGCGGATAAATCACCAGAACACCAGAGTAAATAGAAGACCAGGGGGTGGGGGAACTAACCTAGATGAAGTTTTGCAAGCAAAAATAAAAATGCATTGCAAAATCCAAAGGCAGCAATGTCTCGACCGGCGTTGGCTGTCACTACTGGCATTGGATGTCATAACCGGCATTGGATTTCAATGGCTGGTGATACGTTTTGTCATTGGTTCCACAAAAGAGAACCTGAAACCCTAGCAATAATTTTTGTAACTTGGCAGCTACCTATTTTTGTTTTATAGACCAACACCAGGTTTCAACCCATTGGATTTTTCAAACACCAGACCAATTTAAACTTGCCAATCAGACTTCTTAAAAATGAAAAAAGCAATGGGCAATTTTAACTTGTAAAACAACTGGCCTTTTCAAAAGCATTCACCTATTTACCAATAAATTACCATTTAACCCCTATATTTGTTATGTCATTTTAGTGCAACAAGTATACAGTATTTTATTTGCTTTAACCTATAAAATTTAATTATATCCAATCAACATGATGGAACATGTGCTGTCAGCACTTTTCCGAAAAACGCATGTCATGTCCATGTCCGTGCTCCTTATGACAGTCTTTTTTATTTTTTCATTTTTTAATGTATATGGTACGCAGTGAGAATACAATACAAAGTAAACAATAAAAAGAGCAAGAACAGTGTACCATTGTTCTTCATCTCCTCTTTAGGCACTGTGGCATCTGTAAAATGCAAAAGAGAAACAGAAACTCAGATGATAGGACTCATGCCAACTCCTAATCAACTTCCCGCACATATATCTGATTGCCCATTCATCAGGAAAATATTGAAAGCTAATTTTCAAAACCATGTCTCTAACGGAAATAGTGTAAAAATGCAAGTGCAGCTTGTCCTTATGTAAATTCTTCTCTGGTACTTCCCAATTATAAATCCTACAAATGAAGTTCCAGTGAATGCAATATTCTTTTCTTTGAACTTTTTAGGTTAAATGGAAGTCAAAATTAATGATCATGTAATCTCAATTATTAGAGAAGTTTTCCAATGTAATGCATATGATTAGAGCAGCTTGGATAAAATGAAGCAGTAGACCAAGAATTCTACATAATCAGGAGATACTTACCAAGTTAAAAGGAAAGTAAAATATAAAAAAACGGAAGAGCAACGTACCACTATTCTTCATCTCCTCTTTCGCCACTTTGGCATCTGTAAAATCCAAAAGAGAGACAGCAACTGAGATGATAGAACAGATGCCAGGCATCAATCAACTTCCCACATATATATGTACATATATGTGTATATATGTATATATATGTGTGTGTGTTTATATATATATATATATTGCCTCTTCTTCAGAAAAAGATTGGAAACTAGTTTTCAATACTATGTCTTCAACAGAAATAGTATAAAAATGCAAGGGCATGTTGTCATTTAGTCTATATTCTTTTTGGTACTTCCCAATTATAAACTCTACAATCGAAGCTCCACTAATGGAATATTCTTTAGTTAGGGTTTCCCCATGACAATATGAGCATTTTAGGTTAAATAGCGTTTAATCACATTAGGAATAAGGACGATATGGAAGTCGCAATAAATGATCATTTAATCTCAAAAGCTATTGTTTTAGGCATTTAGGTTCAAATATCAATAAGAATAATTTTGAAGGCAATGTAATGCACAGGGTTAGAGCATGGAGATAAAATGGAAAAGTGCTATAAGGATTCTATGCAATCAGGAGATAACAGCTTAAAAGGACAGTTTCACACAACAGTTACTGCACTATATTTTATAATAGTAATAGATGGACTATTACAGGAAATTTCATAAATGAAGGTGGCACAAATTAAGGATGAAATAGCGGAACAACTTAACTTAGATGGTTGGGACGTGTCTTGAGTAAATATAAAGAAGTTCCATTTATGGACCAGTGCAATACAATAGAATAATTTGAGAAAACAAGACGTTAACATGGTCTGCTAGTGATGCAAGAGCATTTATGTACATGATTCCAAGTTTATTAGGAATAAATAGCTTGTTGATTGTTGGCACACTGGAGTACCTGGAAGGAAAGAATGACCAAGTTGAAATACTATTCTACATAGAATGAGATGAACTGATATCTAAAAATTTTTCAAACAAAGAGAGAGAAGAGAGACAGACAAAGAGTGAAAAGAGAATGGAAATGGCAGGAAATATATGACAGGTTGAGGGTGGAGGCATGCATGCTGATGGCAGTGACTTAGGAAGGGGGTGGGTGGAAATGGAATGAAGTGCAGTAATTGGGAGTGGGGAAAAGGGTCAAGTTGGGAGTTAAAAATGGGTAGAGGGGATGCTAGAATCGTTTCTTGGAAAGTTGAGAAGGAGATTAGTGAACTCAAAAGCATGTGAAACTCTAGGTTTTTCCTACAGAGGTTACCTACTTTGTTTTGGCATGTCAAATAAGAAATGGTCAACGAGTAGTGGAAGGCCATTCCACTCTAGTTCTCTCCAGCATACCTCTCATAAGCTAATCATGAATACTATCAATATGTGGCCACACACACACAGAAAAACTTTTAAATAAATAGACATCAAACGTCCAAACCCATAAATTTACTATTATCGAACTGAAGAAAGACAGACATACCAGCTGGACTTTTTGATTTCACTTGAGATGATCGCCCTGGTTTTGTATTCTTGTCTATGCCAAATTTCTTATTAAGGGCCTGCTTCTTCAAAACATTCTCTTTGGTATGCTTCATCAACCGATCCATGCCTACCCATTCATCCCAACTATTGGCAGGACAGTTAAAAGTATGTGAGCAATTCTGTATGGTTCACTTAACATTAAACTGCTTGGAAATTAGCTGGTTTTGGAGTGACAATAGATCTGCCCTAATGACTTCTATCATTGCAGCATCCGAAGACTAGACACTTGATTTAACTTTTCTGCCAGAGTCGGGCAGAAGAGATATATTATTGGACAACAAAGGAAAAATTACATGCTTGGCTATTAAATTTTCAAATAGCAAAGAAACCATGGTCGCCGCAAATAAAGATAAGTACAACAAAAAAGCCATAATTGAACTCTGAGAAAATGTTTCAGAGATAGAATTTCCCACTACATATATTTAAGATCACGTTCATTACACAAAATGAGGATAAGAAGCTAATTTTTTCCAAAATCATAATTATCATTTGTACTAGGAAGCAAGTCCAAAACCTACCTATTCACTGCATCAGGGATTAATAACAACAATACAAACCCTAGGCACAGAAGAACCTATCAACAGATGTCCATTATGCTTCTATTCAGATTTCTGGTACACATCTAGTAGGTCAGCCGACAACTAAGAGAACAAGTGAGAATCCAGTTTAAATTTTCAACAGCCCAAATCAAGAATGTAGGTAGGGTCGGGTTTGTAAAATCTACTAGAAATATATATAAAAAAATCTCTACCTCTGGCTACAATAATCACTTATTGTACTGCAGAGATTCTCTGTCTCATTAGTGGACAGGAAAAAAAAAATCATTTGAAATTCTGGGGCAGTACACTCACTTTTTATTCCAACCCTGCAAAACAAAATAGTAATTAATACATGCAAGGACAGATAGAACAAAGGTAAATCAATTAATAAATTAGACTGACAAAGGATAATCTTGAGTGAACTTATCCTGGTCTAGGAAAAAATAAATTAACATAGAAATGAAATGCTAATGAACAAAGAGATAAAAACAATTGAGACAGAGGAAATGAAGAAAGGAAAGCTGATAATCAGACTTACAAGGTAGTGAACAAAGTATCTGTACACATTCTTCCGAAACTCTGCTCTTTGAATCTTCACAGAAAAAGTGAATCAGGAAAAAAAAAAGAAAAAAAAGAAAGAAAGGATAGGTCATGAAGAAAATAAACCAAATAAAAGGATAAGAAAATAGCAGGGATATAAATACTCAAACAAACAAGAAGCTGAATACATTATCCCAGAAACAGATAATACAATTGATTAAAAGTGTTCTACATTATATCAAACCCTGAGAGACATAGAAACGTCAACCAATCATTCAGTTCCTACGAGCAACGATGCTCATTAATCTATGACCGGACCAATTTTGAGTGGATAAAAAGAAATGTCAAAATTGGAAATGCAGAGTTGTCTTTTTTTATAGAATTTCTACTTTTTGGCTAACTTATCCCAGCCCTAATTGTAACTCAGGCTCCCAAGTGGAACGAGCTGTCTTGTATCCCATAACTTGGGCACAGACAGGTAGTTTGTTGCTTCTTATATCGAAGCGAAGGTAGATTAATGAGGAACTGCTGCCCAACTTTTACATGTGATATCATATTAGCATATGCAAAATGAGAAGCAATATTGTGGCTACATAAGTAGGCATACTTACTTCTATACGCACTCAATTTCAGCATTCAATCCTCTATATAATAGGGTTTTAATATAGGTTTTTTACAGTAAATTCCATGACTGTGTATTGCAGGTGCACATGCATAATAAAAACTTCAAATATCCAGGCTATTTTGGCCCTAATTGAGCCCCATTTCTTCAGAATGGATTTTGTAAAAAGTGATTTTTTGAGTTCCTTTTAAAATTATTTTACTGAAATAATGTGTGGTTGAAAATAATTTTTTAAAAATAGAGCTCAAATAGGGCTTTATAACATTCTACATGCACATCTGCACAAACACAGAATAATTGTTCTCCTATTACCTCCACAAGCCAGAGTTTTCTATCCGCTCAAAAAGTGATTCATAGCTCCGAAAATATACAATAATAATGAAATTATAAAAGAAACAATACGGTGTAAGAGCAAAACAGACTCTTTAAATATAAAATACTAGAGAGTCAAAGCGAAGAGACTCTCTAATTTAACTTTTTAACGTAGAGACTGTGTTTGACTCTATTCTTAATGTTCGATGATTACATTTAATATATTACAAATTTAAACACTCTACAATTTAAATTTTTCAAATTACATTTAAATTGATTGATCATTAATATATAAAAAAAATTATATTTAAATAAAATATGTGGTGAAATTATTAAATATTGATTGGAAAAAAAACCAAATAAAGAATCAAAATAGAGAGGTACCCTCTATTATGCATAAGAGGCTCATAAATGCTCTAATTAATCCAAAATAAAAACTTCAAGAAGAAAACATTTCAACTAAATTTATATATAATAAAACTAGGGCATGCCTTTGCTTCGTAGATGCGTGGACCGTGAAAAGCTAGGACCTTCTCGCCTTCGGAGAAGCTATTTTTGGAATTGGACTCCGGCACCTCGCCAGGGGAGTTCTCGCGATCACTCGCTGATTCTTCGCTCAAGCTCTTACCCATTTTCTTTTAGAAATTTTCTTTCACTTCTACAAAGTGTTGGCGAGATTTTATTAATTTTTCTTCGTATTTGGATAACAAAGAAGCGGCGGCCGCGGCGACGGATTCTTACACTGATAGAAGGCGGAGTGCGCGATGGATTCGCAACTGGTGTGAGTGCTGGAGTGTGATATTAAAGATTGAAAAAGAGAAAATAGCGGTGGAGGCCCTCATCGTACTGCTCTTGTTACATTTTGGTAACTAATCTTTACGGAGTATTTCACATTCATAGCATTCGTATTTCGTAATTGCGAGTGAATGATTTCTGCCTAAATTACCTTCAAATGAATCGAGAAACAAGTTAAGACCAATGTGTCAATAAATAAGACTAATGTTATTTAACACCAATAATGTTTAACATCAATTTAGGTGACAGCATTAATGGGATTATTCATAAAATAAAGAAGATTGAGACATAATTACATAAATTTAAGGGAGATAAATTTTGCTTTGATACTTATAGCCAACATACGGAAATATGTGATGTCAAATAGGTCGATCTTTGATAAGCAAGGATGTTTGCTTAAAATGTATATTTACTTATCGTAAGTGCGTTGTTTAAGATCTTATTTTGAGAATGTTTGGTGAAAATTAAAATTAGATTTTTTTTAGTAGATTTCAATAGAAATTTTTGGACTTAAATTTAGATGAAAGTCTGATTTTAATCAAAACCAAACATGGGCTATACATGAATCCATGTAGATTTACTCATTGTTCGATAGTTTTGAGTTTTGCAATAAGTAAAACTACTCCATTCATATTGTGTTATTCGAAAGTTTTTGATTGTGTTAGAATAGGTGAGATGATTTCATTAAAAATTATAAAGCCCCAAAAATTCGTCATAATTTGAAAATATTTATATCTTTTATATCCCATAATTATTTCTTTAATGGACATAATATATATTTATACATGGTATAAGACAAGTTAAAGAACTATTTATATCTTTTATATCCCATTGTTCTCTCATGACCATTTAATTCGAGGAGATGGAGATGGAGATGGAGATGGAGATGGAGATGATGAATATCAATGAGAACTTCATAATGGCGTTTTAGGATTGTTTTTTGAATGGAGTGCATATGTCAAAAGTTGGATGAGTATGTGACAATGTTACGAAAATTAAAATGAACAGTTTGAGTGATCAACTTTTGACGATGTTATGAAAATTAGAATGAACAGTTTGAGTGATCAACTTTAGTGCTTGTTTAGTAGGGATTTTGATAATTGATTTTTTGAACGTCAGATATAAGTGGGTCATACCTGTGATGGAAGAATTCAAAAATGACGGAATAGTGAAATAACGGTCAAAAAAATAATTTTAATTGACTTAAAAGCTTTACCAAACAAGCTCTAAGATTAATATATTTTTCAATCTGGTTATCGATTTTGATTTTTGGCAACGACGTATTAATTTCTAATTTCTAGGTTTCGACACCTAAGCCCTAAGTGTCGGACATGTGGCCCAACTTGTTTTAAAATTATTGTCTTTTTAGAGTTTGTTGTTGACGCGTAAAGTCTGAGTGTCGACAGCTACTTGAAAAAAAAATTAATTAAACCTATTTTTAATAGTTCATTGTCTATCTTTCGTTGACATGTGGATTAGTGATGTAATAATTTACAATATAAATCATGAATGTTCCAAGCATAGTACAAGTGGAGATATTAGAGCCCATGCACAAGATTCTATAGACACAACATGCATATATTGTTATCGATCGATGCATCAAAACTGCGAGTGCTTTACATGTTTATGTGCTTACTTGACAACATAAAATAGTACTTGATATTAACTTGTAATTGAAAATGATATAGGCGACGACACTTGTTTCCCAGTGCATGAAAACTTGAAATTTGTGCGGTAGGTATAGACACTAGTTTTTCACTCATTAAAAGTTGAAATTCGTGCATATGTGTCAACACTCTAACCATATGTGTCGGCACCTACATTATCCAACGTGATAAATTATGTTTTTTGTTGTCTATGAGATCTTATTCCAGCCTAGGACATATCATCATGTCACGAAATGAACCCCTTGATCATCATTCATTTGTGTCATGAGGGTTGATGAACTCTTCTTGTTTAACGCAATGTTGCTTTCATTAAAAAGAAAAGAGAAAATAGGAAATGGGTGAGTAAATTAAGTGCACAGGATAGCCCTTAATATATTCATACGTTCATTGTCAAAACATATACCTACAGACATAAAGATAAAGTTAATATATAAGATTATGTGATGCAATCAAATGTTTTGGTCTGATTCTTGAAAAACCTTGGGCACAATTGCTCTAGGTTTGCACATTACCTCTAATGGCTGCTTTTTAGGCATTGTTAGACCTATCCCTTCACTTAGATCAACTTTTTCTCCACTTATTTTCTTCCAGTCAAAGCATTGAATCAATGAACCTAAAGCCAACCCCACCATCCTTTGTCCCAAGCCTGAACCTGGACAAGCCCGTCTCCCCATCCCGAATGGCATCAACTTGTGTGTCTCCACTTCCTTGCCTTCAAATCTCTCGGGTCTGAAACTCGTTGGGTCATCCCAAACCTTAGGATCTCGATGGATTGCCCACGAATTGACAAGTAAAATTGTCCCATGTGGAACGTCATATCATTGTACTTTGCAGTCCGAGGATGACTCATGAGGCAGCAGCAATGGTCCAGCTGGGAACATGCGAAAGGTCTCCAAAATGATGTTTTTAAGGTAAGGTAAATTGGACAAGTCCTGTTCCGAAATCAACCCATTGAGACTCATATGCGTGTTCAACTCATCTCTTGCCTTTTGTAACACATTAGGGTGGTTAAGCAAAAGGGACATTGCCCATTCTATGGTCACCACTGATGTGTCTATGCCTGCGATCACCATGTTCTGCACATCGAACACGAAAATACTCGAAATTACCATGTTTTTTTGTCAATAAACATGAAAATCAAGAATAGAAAAGAAAAAGAAAATTCAAATCAACAATTATAATTGACATAAAAACCAAGGAAGGAAAAAATTAAAGAAGTTCAAATCATCATTTATATACGTCAAAGCAACGAGTAATACTCCAACTATGAGTACTTAAAAATAACTTGAAAGTTACTTTCTCATCTTTCTTTTGGAGAAATAAAAAAATCTTTTAAGCTTTACCAAACATGTTACTGTGCTTTGACATTAATCATTCTCCCAAGGAAAATGGAAACCTTAAAATAAGTTAAACTTGTTATTACTTTAACAACAGTTGATCTCCAAAGAGAAGATGTGGAAAATTGACCACCTAATTATAATCTTTTATCTTTTCAGGTCCACTGATGTGAGTACCCGACTGTAAATTTCAGGATCCTGTGGGATAAGTCGAGGCGCGCGTAAACTGACCTTAACACCCATGGTCATCAAAAAAAAATTATAATCTTTTATCTTTATTGAGGGTCGACAACGACGACAATATTTACTTTTGCATTTCTTTCATCATAAAACTCAATCATACAAAATAGAGTTTTGCTACAGCAACAGGAGTGAGACAAGTGATGCCAACTCTACCCCCTGTCCAGCCCTGTTCGTTTAGCATTTTCCTACAAACTATTACTAGATAATTATTCAAAATAATTTCTTGTCTCAAAAATATATTTTAACTTTTCAAAAACCGGATATTGTACTTACACTTCTTTATTTTAACACAATGCCTCAACTTTCCCACCCTAGGGGCAGTTAATGATGTCTACCGAACTCAAATAATAATTTTGGAGTTTTTATCATCATTGAGTTTGTACATTCTGGTGCAAGCAATAACAATAGTCTCGAAAATTTTTCAAAACAATTAAATATATATTGAATAAAGAAATGCATTGAATTCAATTCTTCTTGTTATGTTTATAGAAATTATGAATGTCTTATACCTAAAGCATATTTGGTATGTGATGCTACCAAAAATCGTACCTGTAGATTTCCCGAGCTTGATGACTGGTGAGGAGCACGAACGTGATCTTCCGATACCTGAAACAAAGGCAACGAGGTGTGTTCTCGTCGCCCCTCCGATGCTTAAGTCAGAAAGAGAAATATATGCGTGAGGCTATGTGCTGAAGAACAATGTCAAACGTACCTGAATAATGGCCCAAGGTTCTGCTTTTATAGGAGTAGGTAGTGTACTCCTAGTAGGATTGTGTTGGTTGGATGTTTTTATCCAAGGGAATTTATATTATAAAGAATGTCCTACTTGTAATGGAATTGTTTGACAAGTGGTGTTAGGGTTGATGTAGAATCCTTGGGTGTTTAGGTTTGTTAGTTAGGTACCCAGGTCTTAGGAGGTATGTTGGTGGTGTATGTCTCGAGGACTATTCTCGAGGACATTGAGGGAATGTAAATGTGTCCTCGAGGTATCTCGAGGACTACAATATCTCGAGGACTTAGATGACCTCGAGGACCGAAGAACAGAAATGAGGTGGGGTATAGATTGAGTCCTCGGGATACACTCCTCTGGGTATATCAATATTGGCATAGTCACTGGCCCCCGTGCACTCGTCCTAGAGGTCGTGCTCTTAGGATGGGGTGCACATGGGTT